ACGCGTATTCCTTTAACTAGCACTGGAAGTAATTCCGCACTGAATCATTGTGTTTCAAGTCTGCTTAATTTCAGCAATTTTTGAAAGATCTCTCGGAAACCACTGGTAGCACCATAACACTAGACAACTTGTGGTATGTTCGTGATGCGATTTTCATTGAGGTCAGTCAGTGATCACAGAGTAGAATTTCCTATTTCGTTATTTTGAAACATACACACCTTCCAATCTCATTTTCAATTGAAATTCGTCAAGTATCTTTTGAAAGCATAGGTTTTTGAAATTTCCTGATCAACTGCCTCGAAGAGATCATCATTCAACAGATGAATTCCAGCTCTCCAGCCTCATAATTGCTCAACGATTCAACATTGCTCAAAACAACCAATCTCATATACCTGAGTAAACCAATCACAACGTTACTGGTTGTGATACAATACTACTACCGATACTGACAAGAATCATAGTGATAACCTTGTCAAACCATGTCATTGGAGCATCAATAATAATGTTACTATCAACATAAAGACAACACCAAGAAAATGATGATTATTAATGATAGCAACAGTTTTGCTAACATAATCATCCTAAAAACCATTTTGATGATTTCAGAAACTGCATAATAAGACGGATAGACTCATCAATGATACCACATATAAAAGAATCGATGAAATAGTGGATTTGATGGAAAACTATGAGGATGGTCTTGGTAAGGACATCAAACATATTTTGATATCCATCGGGTATTTGATTTCCTCTGAAAGTCTTTTTTATCTTAATCAATGAATTGCGTATAGATCGATGGACTTGCAAATCAGAGCACGTAAATTTTAGATCTCACGCCAGTGGACAACATCAACTTCACAGTGGAGATTGCAAAGGTTCGAGGTGGAGGCGCTCTGTGGGCATTCATGAATCACTTCGAACAGAAGGTATCCCACAATCCTAATGTTCCATAGGTAGAGCTGCATAATGTGAGCTTATCATCGACTTCGATCGCAGCTATCTATAAGCTGGTGCACTTGAAGTTATTGATTCTTAGAGAGGCCAGTTTTAATATGCCGAAATTTCAGTTGTTCTGCAACGACCCAAACAATCAGGATAAACCGCAATGTAACTGGATGAAACACTTGCGATACTATGCGTTTTCTGCGGTAAGTTTGATCGGTATGACTTAGGTGTTTTCCAACAGAATTTTAGAGTCCCATTTATCTGGAGGCCTTGAGAAGACGGTAGCCTTGAAGGTGCCACCCGAGACAGTATTAATAAAATGCCTATATCTCCTCAAGTAAGCAAAATTGCTTATTATAATATTTTGAATCTAGAGGTTCCGCTGGATCGACTGGTGAAAAGAAATTCACATGTTACCGGGCAAACTTGAGAAGGCAGTTAGCTCGAAGATCGCAATCCGTCTATTGCTAATATGAACGTATTGATTGCTCTATAGTGATCAATTTGTATGAATGAGCGTGACTGCGCTATCGAATTGAGATAGATCTAAGTAAATGGCTTTAGCTCCTCAGGAAAGCAAAATCGCTCGACAAAATATATGTTACTCTGATTGAGGAGATCCACTTGGATCGACTGATGCAAAAAAATTCATATGATACTGGGCAAACTTGAGAAGACGGTAGCCTTGAATGTGGCACTTGAGATATTATTAATAAAATGCCTACATCTCCTCAAAAAGGCCAAATTGCTCAGTAAAATCTTTGATATTATGAATCTAGAGGTTCTGCTGGATCGATTGGTGAAAAGAAATTCACATATTTCCGGGCAAACCTGAGAAGACGGTTACCTCGAAGATCGCAATCCGCCTATTGCTATATTAACGTTTTGACTACTCTATAGTGATCAATGTACATAAATGATGAGCGCGACGGCGCTAATTGAAATAGATCTAAGAAAATTGCTATATCTCCTCAGTTAAGCAAAACCACTTGGCAAAATCTATGTTTTTCTGAATGTACATATCCAGCTGGATCGAATGATGCAAATCAATTCATAGGTTAAAATGAATTCACCCCATTTCAAACTGCACGCTCATTAGCGCATTGACTTGATAGTGCTTATTCTTCCGCGGATGATGCATTGAACATATCAGTGATTCAAAAGGCCGAAACATTTTTTTTGGTTCAAATATTTGAACTCATCGACACCATCCTTTTGATTGAAGATGCATACCGTTAATTGTTCAAATAACACTTGAGTTTATCATTGCCTGAAAATTACCAACACTTGTAGATCTTTCTTTCATTTTTGGGTGAGAAAATTAAGCCACTGACTGTAAGTAAGATTGTCGTAAAATGCTTGTTTTCGAGACAATGTGTTTCAGCACGACAATGCTTTATCAGCGCTGATGGCAACGC